AGTCTTACACTGCTAAATTAGGGACGGCTAGCGCAGATAGCCCTCGTGTAGCTATGCGCGAAATTCAAAACATACAAGGTGGTTTCTATACGTACACACATATATACATATATAGAAAAAGAGAGAGACTATGTCATTTCAAGTGTATAAAAATATGACCAATAAAACCAGAGATAGGTAAATGTACACCATTTTATCAAATCTCCTCCCAGGCCGTTACGTTTCTAGTCTTACATATTGTAGAATAAGTTTATTTGGACGTTTTATATATTGTGCATTAAATTAAATACCAGAATTTATATCAACAAATACCTTTTACTGAAAAATAGAAAGGAAAAAGTAGAGAGTAGTGAAATACAAAATACCAAAATTACTTCAATCCGTAGAATAAAAATAAAAACTTATAAACCTGTTTTATACGATATTAATATTTCATCATTACAGATCTAAGTACATTCTTTGGTCGTTTTAACGACAACAAAGTTACTTCCTTTTTAGTAGACACATACGTGTACGAATGTTCAAAATAACACGTACAATAGAGAAAAAAAAACTTTCGAAACTCAGTACGCATTAATTAAAGGCAATTCAACAAGACTATCAATTAACCTATATTACACGGTTGTTGAGTTCTCAGAAGCCTTGACGGTGCGCTGCCCTTGTCAAATTTAGTCTAAAATTATTTCAAGAAATGAAATCCTTAAGAAAACATCAACTTATGCAGAGCCCCCCTGAAGTATTTATTAAGGCACAAAATTCCAAACTCACAAATAGTTAGTAAAACACTTTTCAAGACTAAAACAAACATTATATATACGCGTAGTTTGTTCCACATACGTGCTCATCACCGTGCTATGGTGGGGGACATACAGGACTGGATTAATTGGAGGCAAATAGATGAAATTGCTCCGAGCCCTCCTTCCAAGAGAAAATAAAGATATTTATCAAAACTGGATATATATCATTGAAAAATATGTTTCCATCTGTGTCACTATGACAACAGTGACTTTAGTCGCTTCCTATAAATTTATTATTTTGTAATTTTTCACTAGCATGTTCTTTCAACTCA